ACAAAGATGCAGCTTTGCCGCTTACGCCAGCCATACCTCTCACGAACCCCACCCCTACAACAGGATAGGGTCATGCGAGGCACAACATACCTCTACCCAAGGGGTTGTCACCACCCTTAGGTAGGCGTATCCCTGCCGAGCTACCGAACCACATGCGAAAGTTTTTACGTGTGGTCGCAAAGGTGAACCAGCCGAGGGTGTTTCTCGTTCGCTGCAGCATAGGGGGTATACGCGATCAGACGCCCAAATCGAACCCATCCGCGAACCGTCGCTTGGGGTGCTGATCTCCCAGGCACGATTCTGCGCCAGTCGACTAGGACGGCCAGTAGAACCACACGATTCTTCTTCTCAAAGAAAACTTTAGTCCATGTGAAATTCCTCCCTAGTCCCTTTTTCAGTTCAACCCATAACTCTTTGGTACATGAATGAGTAGGCGTCGTGCGCGAGACTTTGAATAAAAAGCACGGTGACATAGGGGCTTCCTAATATTGACTAGCCATGCATGAATACGCACTCATACGCAATGATGACGTACTATGTGGTGCTCATAATTGTGCGATCCCTTCGGGAATATGGGATCGCATTGGTGTCAGATGACATGCAGCCTGAGGGGTTATTCCTCTGACGCTAGACAATCACGACTGCGATAGCGCGTGCTACCCTCTTTTGCACGCTACTCTCTCTCTCTCTCTCACACACACACACACGCACACATTCTTCCTTACCGGCTCAAATTTGTCCTTTTCTTCCTTCTTCGTTGCCTCCCTTCCGCTTGTTCGATTCCAACTTTCAACTTGTGCCTTCCATCCCTCTCTCGACCTTCACCCCAACAATCTGCTTTTCCCCATCCTCATCTCTGCTTGTTCTGTGTCTGTAGCCTCTCTATTCCAGTCTCTCTCCATGCCTTTCTCTCCTTCGTTGGGATCCTCTTCGAGCTCATGTTCTCTTGTCATTGCTCTCCTCCACCATCACCTGCATATCCACATCTGCCCTATCCCTCTCCTGATTCAGCCCCTTTGTCATTATCTTGCTCTTTTTTTTCCTTACAACCCATTTGCCCTCCCTCCACGCTGAGCCCCTCTTCCTGCCTTGCAATCTCGTCTTCCCCACCTTGTCTGGAATCCCGTACACGACTTGCATTAATTGGTCCCCACATCCTCACTGTGAGTGGCTGATATTCCAACCTTCTCCTCCTCTCGATCCCAAATCCTGATCGACCCCCTCCCAATTTGCGCTGCCCATCCCCTTCTTCACAAGGGGCCTCCTCGACGTCTTCCACCTACACAACCTCCTTAGAATCGGCAAACTTCCCTTGCATGCTTCACTCTATCTCGGTGACTTGCCTTCTACTTCTCTTGTCGTTGCATCCTGACCGACGAAATTGTGACCGTCTCCGCCTCCTCATCCCTCCTCCACCTCATCCCTCATCCTCATCCTCCCCCATCGTCGTTCTCCTGCTACTAGAGCCTCTCAAGATTTCAATGGCGACCTCTCCTGCTTACATGACCAGGCACTTGACCTCCCACTACCGTTCCTTCTCGCCATGCCCCTCCCCATTCACGACATGATCCCCGCATACTGCGTCTGAGAGCGGTCGTGCACAAATCTTGTCCCACTTGTAAAATAGCACCCCAACCAAAAATGGAGTTGCCCTAAGCGAATGGACGGACGGATGGAGGAGGGAAGTAGGGATGTAGAGGGAGGGGAGGATGGGGGGAAGGGGGGGGGGGGGGGGGGGGGGGGGGGGGGGGGGGGG